ATGGACGATGATATTATGAAAGAACAGGGACTACGAGATATTTACTACAATCCTCAGACAGGATTCCAAACACCAGAGAAACTATATCTTAGAGCAGTATCAGACGGACTTAAAGTAACCAGAAACCAGGTCAAGAAATGGATAAACGAGCAAGACACATACACTAGGTACAGACAAGTGTTTAGGAAACATAAGTTCAGACAGACGTACGTCCAAACTTTAGGTGAACAGTTACAAATGGATTTAGTTGATATGACAAAATATGATGACAAGAACAAGGGATACCGATGGATTCTCACATCAATCGAAATACTAAGTAGGTACGCATTCACAGTACCAGTGTATAGGAAAAACGCGACATCAATGAAGGACGCAGTCAGTAACATTTTAGAGCAATTTAATAATCGTTTTGGTAAATACCCAAAATTCGCCCAGTTTGATCAAGGCACAGAGTTCTACAATAAAGATGTAAAGTCATTGCTTAATAAACATAACATCGAGTTTTTCTCCACATACTCAGACAAAAAGGCCGCAGTTGTGGAAAGATTTAACAGAACACTGAAAGCGCTAATGTGGAAGTACTTTTACAGTGCCAGTACATATAAATGGTTAGACGTCCTTCAAGACTTAACTGATAATTACAACAGTTCAGTGAACAGATCAATTAAAACAACACCAGACAGTGTAAATGAGTCCAATTGGACTGAAGTATGGAAGACACTTTTTAGTCACAATTTAGGCAAGCCATCAGAACCAAAGTTTGCTGTAGGAGAAAGTGTCAGGATCTCAAAGTACAAATCAGTGTTCACAAAAAGGTACGAAGCAAATTTCACAGAGGAATTGTTCACTGTGACAGAAGTGTATCACGGTCATCCAAACACGTACACAATAAAAGACAGTGCTGATGAACCAATAATTGGCAGATTCTATGAACAAGAACTATATAGCGCTGAAGGAAGAGAACCTGATTTCAGAATAGAGAAAGTACTAAGAAGAAGAACATTGAAGGGTAAAAAGATGGCCCTAGTTAAGTGGTTAGGTTATGATGACAAATTTAACAGTTGGATACCGGTTGGAGACATCAAGTCCCTAACATAAGTTAAAGTATTATGGAGGACTACGATGACATTGAGTTGGAGGAGACAGAAAAGACGTATCCTCAATATGACGACCTCAATTATGATGACCTAACGACAGCTTTTAGTAGGTTAGATACAAGGGTGAGGGGAGAGGCTATGTATGGTGATGATCCTATAGTGATAACCAATCTTAGAAGTCAACTGGACTATGTGAAGAATCTCATGGAGAGACATGTAATAGCAGAAACAACTTTCACCGAAGGAAATGATGGTACAGTGAACATCTCCGGTCCATCAGGAAGCACGACCATCCCAGGGGTAGATTTTGTGGAAGATCCGGATGGTCTTCTTCCAATTGTGCTAGATGCATTTAATGATACTTTTGATACTGACTGGTTTAACATAGAGAAACGTTTGGAACGACTAAATAAACTTTCTACAATGGAGAAGAAGAGGGACTTTAGAAACCAAGTAGAGCGTGTTCAAGCTGTCACAAGAGTTATCAAGAATAAGGAGGGACTAATACTAGACCCAAGGAATAGATATGTCAGGGAACTCATCAAACGATCATCTGTAAGAACACTCAAGGATGACACAGAGGTGTTGGTATTTAGAAGTGAACAAGGTATTGACAAAAGTGGCACACAAATAATGAAACGCGGTAAGACCAGTAAACCTGTGTACTCCAAGAACTCCATTGCATTAAGAGAATATAAGGACCTTCTAAAGAAAATAAAAGAGGTACCTACGAATCCCGACAATATAATTGGAAGTGATGAATCAATTTATGAGGACACCAGAGAAATGCCGCAATTTGATACCAGTGATGAGGAATACGCTGACCGTGAGAACATTGAGTTAATAGACATAGGTGCACAATTAGGAGATCTTCCAGGGCTAACAATGCAAGAAAACAATGAACTGAGAGGTGTTCTTAACCCACCTGATGGATCAAGCATAGAAGGCAGAACAGGTCCCAGTGGAGCGTTACAAGTTCAGGCTGACTACTTTAATGAAGCTATTGGTGAAACCGTGGAACGCGCCACCTCTGCGGAAGGTACGACTGAGTATAACTCCCTCCTAGAAAGAATTGACAGTTTGAAGGAAGCTAGGGATAGGACACTAGAACAGAGAACAGTAGAGGAAGTAAGAGAGGCACAGTTGGAAGATATTTCTAGATTACGTAAGTTTATAGACTGGGTAGGAAAGGAAAAAGTGGGACTTGTAGGGATAGCAGTGTCAACAGCTAGTTTAATTACAGCCTTACTAATCCATGCTAGGGGAGCCATTGTGAAGACAGCAAAGGCCACTGGTAAAGTAGCAAAAGCATTAGCAAATTTAGCAAAGAAAGCAGGACCAATTCTAGTTCCAATTCTGAACACCATTGCAACGGCGCTATCGTGGGGAGCCAAAGGAATTGCTTGGTTAGCGTCACACTTATGGGTACTAGCTGTAGCTGCAGCCTTAATGGTATACAACTATTACAGCAAGTAAATTATGAGAAATGGCTGAAAGCGTAGAATACAAGGCAGCATGGATGGATAGGGTAAGTACTATTCTTGACGAATACAATAATGAATACTCTGAGATCTGGGAAGGAGACCTAGGAACTGAGGACCTAGATGAGATGGATAAATTATATCCTGGCTATAGGGAAATGAAACCTGAAGATATGGACTCTGAAATAGACATTCTCCGAAGGAAGATAACGGGCTCTGAGCAACCGGAAGAGAAAGAGGATATTAAAAGAGAAATCGAATACGTCAGTCAGCTAAGAAGAATGAAGACCTGGAAGAATTCAGAAACTGAGGCCTATCTAAACGCAACCCATGGCACTCTCAAGGAAGAGGTAAAAACATTAGTTGTACTCAGAAGAATAGCTAAGGCTGAAGTTAGAAGGAATGACTACTCGGAAAAAATAGATAGGCTGAAGGGTATTATAGAAAACCTAGGTTTTAATCCTAGTGAGCCCGAGGAAGAGTTGGAAGTAGAGGAAGAAGAAGCTGGGAAGAAGAAGGAGGAAGAAGAACTCGGGAAGGCTGCTGAGTTAGAAAGAAAAAGGCTTGCAGAAGAAGCTGCCGAACGTCAGAGAAAAGCGGAGTTTGAGCGCAAGGAAGCTGAGATTAAAAGACACCAGGAAACTGTTAAGGGTGATAAGGAGAAAACAGAGTACTGGAGAAAAAAGCTCGAAGAATGGGAAAAAGAGAAGTCTAAACCCAAGGAAGAACCCAGTATCTTCCCGGAGAAACCTCAGGCTGAGGAAGAACCTAAGAAACCCAAGATAGAAAAGCCCTACAGAGGTAAAGAACCCAGGAAGCCTGATAGAGGTAAGAAGACTGAGGAGTCTCTACCTGGGGTAGACACTGAATGGCTAAAGGATACTTTCAACTTTGAGAACCTCCTATTCCAGGTCGCAGAGGATACTATCCCAGAAGATGATCAACCTATATTTAGCGGTGATAGTACGGAAATCATGTTGAAGGATGTTAGGGAAGATCTTACGAGGTATGAAAGATTCAAGTCATGGGTTGAGGATAACTTCGGATTTGTGCTTGCAGGTATTATAGTGTCAGTTGCTGCTCTCCTTACAGCTATTATCATACAGGCTAGGAAACTATCCTCAATGGCAGCAAACTCAACTCACAGAGGTGTAGATCCATCTCCACTTCCTAATATAGTAAACAAACTGATTAAATTCATATCATCAAACTTATGGGTGGTAGCTGTAAGTATCGTAATAATTTTACTATACATGAACAGCTAAACATTACATATTGTATACAAGTATGAATACCACAGAAAGAGAACTCCAGCCTGGCTTCAGGAGGAGCCGTATGACATCCGTAAAAGGTCCCAGAACTAGAAGTGTTGTAACATTTAATCCAACAACTATTAGCCCAGGTGAAGAGCTGTACATTAACATCCCTAAACTAAAACCCGACTCTTGTTTAGTCCCAGGATCACTTGCACTATTATTTGACTTCAAAAATTCCAATACAAAAAGCTGCTTTAATAACAACCTATCTAAGTTGATAGCTAAACGTCTTCAGATTAAAGTAGCCGGTGAAACAGCTTATGACTGTTCAGGAGAGAGTTTGTACGAAATATACAAAGATCTATGGCTAACACTAGGTGACAGAAAGAAGATGACAGAACAGGGTCTTGCAAGTGAGAATCTTAGGAAGTTAATATCAGGTGACGACTCAGGTGTAAAGGTTGGTGATGCCAGCAAAGTAGCAGATGGACTTCTCCACAGTGTGTACGGTTCTAAGCTTAGAAAACCAATTGATAAAATAATTGCAGATCATGGACTCTACACACCGTTCTCCATGAATAACAATCCTATGTACATCCTCACACTCCCGCAATCAGATGAGATTATGACTGCCCAAGGAGGCGAAGCTAAGGGTAATTATAAACTGGACAATCTTGAGTTAGAATACGAGACCATTGAGAATGACGCCCTTGCAAGTGAAGTATCAAGGATGTATTCAACAGGCCGCTCACTGTCCTACAAACATGTTACACTAATGCGTACAAGTAATTGGGACAAAGATCTTACCATTGTCAATGAGAACATTAATATCCCCAGAAAGAGCATGTCAGCAATTGTCCTTCTATTTACCAGTAGAGTGAGAACTGATTCTGAAGAATATATTTACCCAAACATTGATAAAGTGAACCTGACCATTGAAGGTGTGCCTAATGCAGTTTTCTCCCAAGGACTTCCCAAAAATAGGTTCTTCGAAGAGGCAAAAAGATTCTTTTGCCCTATGTGCGAGAAATCCATGGCAGATGAGTTTATGTCCATCAGCAAGTTCTTCACCAATGGTTTTGCTCTAGTAATCGACCTAAGGTCAACACAAGATGATACCACTGGTGGAGGTAAGAAGATAGTTAACACACAATCAGGAGTACTCCTGGAAATCAAAAAGAGAGCCACAACAGCTGACGTTCAGTGCAACATTTTTGTTGTATCAGATGCACTCCTAAACTTTGCCAATAGAGATCTATCAAGTATTCAATACTAACGGTAAAGCATAGAGATGCAACCATTCAACATGCTCATAGTACGAATGACTGGAAGTGGAAAGACTCAGTTCCTACTTAATATGTTAGAAACAGAGTACAGTAGAGTTTTCGATTACATTGTCATTATATGTCCAACCATAGAGTGGAATATGACTTACATTAATTGGACTCATATTAGTGACCACGGAGTTATACAAATTCCATGCTCACAAGAAATGATCGATCTTATTCTCAAGGCAGTGTCCACCATATTCCGCGGTACTCAGACTCTCATCATAGTGGACGATTGTGCGGCAAGTCAAGATGTAAAGAAAAGAGTCTCAGAACTGGTGCGCTTAGCATTCTCTGCAAGACATTACAACATATCTGTTATTGTAATTACCCAACAATTGTCATCAGTAGCAAAGCCCTTTCGGGAGAACATTTCCAGGCTAGTTACATTCTACAACCCTAGTCGCAGGGATATGAAGGTTATAACAGATGATTACCTAAGTGGTGTTCCTCAGGAAACAATTACAGAGATTACGAAAATATTAAAAGATGAGAAGTTCACCGCACTGGACGTACTACTTATTCACCCTTACACATACACTGTTAAACTAAACACCGCGTAAAATATAGATGATGGGAACTGAATCTGAGGAAGAAATATTTGAGGCTGTAAGAGAAGTAGAGGAGGCCGCAAAGGTGCCGCGTAAAAAGGCTAAGAAAACTAAGCCCACCGCAGATAAGTCGCAAACTGAAAGCAAAAGGGACAAACTTATAGAGCTATCGAGGGACGGTGTAATAGAGAAGTCCGCAAGTTTTATAAGAAAGTCTAACAAGGATGTTGTAGATAGACTGTACCATGAGTACGAAAGTCAGAGGATGTCATGTGCAAGTGACTTCTTATCAACGCTTATTATTTCAAAGTTTGCTTCTATATTAGGACGTTTTGGTGCAGTGGAATCTTCAGAGAAACTGTCAGAGGAACTACTTAGTGACAAACTTTTGAAGGATGACGTAGCATATCTAACCAGAACGATATCCCCCAACATCCCATTCATAGGGCTCATATCTGGTGGTTGTACAACAGCTAAACATGTAGTTGCCCATAAGTGGAATAAGAAGGAGGAACCTGAGGAAGTGTCAGAGGAAGCTAAACATATTTTATTAAATACAGAATGTCGCGATACGACTGGGACGGAACAGAATTCGAATCAATTATTGACGAGTTGATTGAGAAAACTAACAGGAACAAGGAACAGCTAGACAAGATTCAGGCAACCCTGGATTCACTAGAGAGAGATCATGATGCCCTCAAGAATAAAATAGTAGGTCCACTACAATATGAATTCGAAGCTTTTAAAATTGACACAATAAAAACAGTTGTAAAGATATACAAGAATCTAAATGAAATGTAGTAGGCAAAATATTTTTTATAACTGGTGCCTCACATTAGAAGCAGTTGGGTGGGTAGTGGGAATGCTGCTTCAAAAATAAATCAGATTTAATTAACAAATAAATAACCTAAAAAATTTTTACACATATAGTATAGGGAAGATGGAGAAATTATTTAGGAACCAAAAGTTGAACGTTAGTGTAAGAACTGTTATGTGTGGTGAGGAGATACTATTTTATGCAAAAGATGTAGCGGAATCACTAGGGTACTCAAACACAAAGAAGGCTGTTCAGGTCAACGTATGGAATAAAAATAAGGTAACACTCAGGGAACTTGGTGATGGGACCCTTAAGGGTCCCATCATTAGTAGTCATCCAAACTGTGTTTTCTTAAGGGAACAGGGTCTGTACCAACTAATATTCAAATCCAGACTTCCAATAGCAGAGGCCTTCCAAGGCTGGGTGGTTACGGACGTTCTCCCGTCTATTCGTAAAACTGGATCATACAAATTACCAGAATCTGAGCCACTATACTGCAATCAGATGAGATTAATTAATGAGACAGACCTTCATTATGCTGTTGTGGGATATCTTAAAAATTACCACCCGAACGCTCTAATCCTACCGGGACTAGGAGAGTACCAGGATACATCGCAAAAGAGATGCGACGCTTGGAGGAAGGGATATTTAGGTGGACAACCCGATCTCACAATAGTAACTCAAAGTAATGGTTTTAATGGATTCGCAATAGAACTTAAGACTCCAAAGGGTACAGGTGAAGTCAGAGATAATCAGGTAGCTTGGATAAGGGAGTTAGGTAAAAACGGATTTCAAACATTAATATCCAACAACTACACAGAGATAGTGTTATACATAGACGAGTACTTTAGGGTTGATAAGACAAAGAAACTCATAAATGAAATAAAGAATCTTAAGATAAAGTGTGAGACCTTAGAGTCTAGTAAGTGTAAAGAAGTTGTAATACAAAGGATTGGTTACACATTCGGTAAGTACTAGAGTGCAAACGAAAAGCGAGGGGAGTAAACTTAGAAAATGCTCGGCAAAATTTGTTGGGCATTTTTTAAGCAATCCCGTCATACTGCCAAGTAGATTTGAGACATCTCACAAGTAAATTTAAGTTATCTTACCAGTTATCTCACCAGTAGATTTAAGTTATCTTACCAGTAGATTTGAGTTATCTTACAAGTAGATTTAAGTTATCTCACCAGTAGAATTCAAGATGTCTCATAAGATGAAACCCAGTTAAACCTAAGGTATCTTACAAGTAGAATGGCAGATAAACCTGAGCAAATTCAAGTACCAGTAACAAGTGAAAAGAAGAAAGACCCAAAAAGAGTAGCTGCAGGAAAACGACTAGCTGCAATCAGTAGAATAGCAAAGGAGAGGAAAAAGAAACTGACCGAACCTAGCGAGTCACCTAGCAATGACAGTATGATTACCTACATAGGAGTGGCCATTGCATTGATATCCCTAGTGCTAGCATATAAGACCCATCAGAGGGAAACTAGGAAACCAGAACTTGAGTTCATCCCTAAAACTGTAGAAGTAACTAAGAAAGCTGATGAGTCTAAGTTAGATTCACTTGAATGATCACTAAACATACCATATATTATAGCAAGATGAGTAAAGAATCAAAGATGACTAGGGAAGTGTACGACGCAGTGTTACTTACAGCAGGAGCAGTTGGTATATCAATGGCATCAAAGAAAATATTGAAAGAACCCCTAGGTACCCCAGAGAATGTAAAGGGAATGGTGAAGTTAGCTGTTTCAGTTAGTCTTTCATCTCTACTGGTCTCTTACTTGAAGGAAAAGAAGTATATACCAGATGATCCATTCAAAACCTAGGTAAAACTATACAATGGCGGGAGCAGTAGCAGGAGGACTCTTTAATGCATTTGCATTTGCGGGAGCAGGATACTTGTTTAAGATGTTTGACAAGAATGGATACGCTGAGGAAGCTCATAGACATAACAAGGCAATGGAGAACCTAACAGCTGAAAGAGAGAAGTACCTCGAAGAAGTCACTAATAGGAGAAATAGGATTGCCCAACTGAAGTCAGAACTAGCTGAGGCAAATAGGAATATTAAGTCAACGAACCAGTCATTAGAACTCGTTAGAAGAATCAATGAGTTAACACGTAAGCCTATGCCAAGGAAGCCGCAATTAAGCAATCACTACAAACCTAGCTCCGAAATGGAAGAATATATGACAATACTTGGTTTAATTACAGGTGGAGCAGTGGGTGGGTTAGCTTATTTAATTCTATAGAAAATGCCATAAAAATTTTTACACTAATAGTATAGAAGAATGGATTGGCTTCAAATGGTAACACCTGAGGAAGTGGTAGCCCTGGGAAAAAGGGTAGACACAATAGAAGAGCTAGAAGCTGCAGTCAAGAAGTATGTGGAACTAAGAATAATAAGAAGGCGATTAAATACACCACAAAAATCAGCAGAAAATTTTCACACTAATAGTATAGGGAAATGGAATGGTTGCAAATGGTAACACCTGAGGAGATAGCATATGTAGGTAAAAGGGTAAACACACTGGAAGAGTTAGAGGCTGCTGTGTGGAAGTACGCAGAGAGTAGAATAAAGAGGAGACATATATATGATCCAGTATGCAGTGAATGCGGGAGTAAGTCTATTGTAATGATAGATGGGGCAGATACATGCACACAGTGTGGTACTAGTAATATGAATAACTTCTCATACTACGTTAGTTACAACTACAACAAGGACGACTATCTGAAAAAGAAATCTCATCACAACAGAGTCCGTTGGTTTGAGAGACACTTGTTCGAACATGTTGCTTCTAGGGATAGGGACATTATAAGGGAGCAGTTTAGAAGTATAGTAAGATGTATACAAAGACTTAGACTGCAAAGGGGGCGCAATATAGTTAGATACAAGTTTTACCTACTGAGGATAGCCAGCATGAATGGTATTTCCCTGAAGAACCCTCCCGAGGATATTAAGACTCAAAGGATTGTGGACATCCTTGAGGATAGGTTGTATGGTAAAGTTTTTGTTGAGCTTGGATGGAAACCTGAGAATTGTAAATATTATAATAACTGGAAAATTAAAAAACACTTAAAGAAATATTAATATAATAAATCAATAGAATTAAATCAAAAATAAAAACACTTAAAGAAATGTTAATATAATTAAACAATAAATTAAACCAAAAATAAAAACACTTAAAGATATACCGATATAATAAATTAATAGAATTAAAAATAAATTAAATCAAAAATAAATTCAAAATAAATTATTAATTAAATACCCGAATTTATTTTTACATATATAGTATAGAGGAACTGACAGAAAAATATGGCGAGTTATTTTGATATGAACGAATTCAGCGTAGAACAGCTTATGGCTCTCAATAGTATCATAGATAGTGACAACGAGATCGATGAAAGAGTAGACAACATCATGGCCGACAAAAACTACAGGATTGCACCTGATGATAAGGGCAAAAGTCCCTTTGAAGGAGAAAGACAATTCGTAGACGAAGTTGACCGTGATATGGAGGTAAAGAAACCTAGACGCCTTCCTTTGAACTATAAGGGAAGAAGAGGAATTATGCCTACATGGAAATACTCTGACAGGCAAAAGGCAAAGGCCCTACTTGTAGAGGAGGCATACCAAAGTTTACTATCAAAGGGCGTTCAGGGATTACCACCAACAATGGGAGGCAGATGGCGCACGGATGATCCTCAAGTAAACGAGGAAATCAAGAGGATTGAAAATAAAAGGAATCCTAAGATAAAGCGTCCCAGAGGTAGACCACCGAAGGCAAAAACTGACTCCGAAGTTAAGGTTCCCAAAAAGAGAGGAAGACCTTCAAAGGCAGTCCGATGCTAAAGTGAAGATTCCTGGAAGGAGAGGTAGACCACAAAAGGTAAAGACTGACTATGAAGTGAAGGTTCCTAAAAAGAGAGGAAGACCTCCAAAGGCTAAGCCTAATGTTAAGGTTAAAAGGCAAACCGTAGCTGAAAGATTCCTGAGTCAAAGAAAGGTAAAACTGTCAGTACCAGCTGATAGTGTTATAACACCAACAGGTCCTGGTAAGTTTATAATTCACGTGGATCTTAATAATAAACCTGTGAGAAAAGCTCCTGAGGTGCCTAAGGGTGTAGCTCCATGGAAACCCGTACCTAAGCCTAGAACGGTACTTCCTAAGGAAAGACCTGTACCTAAACCCAGGACTAAGCTTCCTAGGGAAAGACCTGTACCGAAACCTAGGACCAGGAAACCAGTGTCTGCTCCTAAGGTCCGTAAGCCTGTAAGAGTGTCGAGGGAAGTCAGGGAGCAGCCTATGGTGGTTACACCAGAGGAACATGAAATCGATCCATTTGGAACAGACCTTGAAAAGCCATTCCACAGAAAATCGAAACAGCCGCAAATGGAGCCGCCGTGACTTACTCGATAACTCCTCATTATATGGACCCTCTGAACCAGATGACTGCAAGTAGACAGGTAGTGAGAGGAATACTTGTGAACGAGTTGAAGAGAATGGGTGGGTTGAAGTACACAGAGACTCTGAAGGTGAGAATGTCAAAGGAAATTGGTGACGGGAAAACCAAGGAGGACTCAGTCTACTTCAAATCTAAGACTGGTACTGCAACTAACTTCGAGGATATTGAAAGTACTGCTGCTCAAAACCAACTGACAATATTGTCTAGAATTGAAACCTTCCAAAACTTAGGTTCAAACTGGATTATACTCAATATTGAGAGTCATTACGTAAACATTGCAATGTATAAACCATTAAGGGGTAGTTCATATATGAAACTTCCAGGGGACATTAGTAATCCAAAGTGTGGGCTCATCAATATGAAGAACAATGACAACCTGTGTTTCCTGTGGAGTCATGTGAGACATCTGAGGCCAAAAGCCAGGAGAGCAACCACTATCACACGGAAAGATAGGGAATTCATAACGAACCTGGACTACGACGGTATAGACTTCCCCGTGAAGATAAGTGACATCGATAAAATTGAGAGGAAAAATAGTATCAACATATCGGTGTTCGGTTACAAGGGTAAGAAACAGTTCTACCCCATAAGGAACTCAAAGGCTAAACATGATGAGCATATGGAGCTTCTACTCCTGGGTGGTAGTGAAGGTAACAACCATTACGTTCTCATAAAGGATGTAAACAGGATGCTCTTCAGTGTAAGTAAACATACAAATAAGAAGCACTTCTGTCTACACTGTCTTCATAGTTGTGTGAGCAAAGAGGTACTGGAGAAGCATAAGGAAACATGTCTGGAGGTAAATGGAACTCAGGCTGTAAATCTTCCCAAGGAAGGGACAAAAATCAAGTTCAAAAATCACAGGAACTCAATGCCAGTACCGTTTGTGATATACGCTGATTTTGAGTCAATACTAGTACCAGAGGAGAGAAAAGTGAACTCAAAAAACCCTGAGGATAAAAGTAGTACAGACCTTTACCAGACACACAAGGCTTGTAGTTTTGGTTTGAAGACTGTCTGCCACTATGATGATAAGTACTCCGGTGAGTATAAGAGTTACGTTGGAGAGGATGCTGCATTGGTCTTCCTAAAGACTGTATTGAAAGAGTCCTTCAGATGTAGAGAGATGGTCAACAATATATTCAAGAAAAAGATGGTAATTACACCCAAACAGGAATTCGAATTCCAGGCTGCAAGAAACTGCTCAATATGTGGTAACGACCTTGGTGAGGATAGGGTAAGAGACCATGACCATGTAACAGGAATGTACCGTGGAGCTGCTCATAATATATGCAACCTGAAGTATAGAATTACATGGAAAGTGCCTGTGGTCTTCCACAACCTGAGAGGTTACGATAGTCATCTGATTATGCAGGAAATTGGTAAGTTCAAAATGGACGTCAATATGATCCCAAATAATATGGAAAAATACATCTCATTCTCACTGGGTAAGAATCTGGTCTTCATAGACTCTATACAGTTTATGGCTTCTTCACTGGAAGCACTGGTGAGTAACCTTTCACCTGAGGACTTCAGGATAGTAGGTAAGAGGTGGAAGGGTGAGGACTTCAATATAGTAACACAAAAAGGAGTATTTCCATATGAATTCTTGGATAACATTAACAAGCTTAATACAGAAGATCTTCCTAGTAGGGATAAGTTCTACTCGTCACTGTATGAGTCAGAGGTGAAGGAAGAAGATTACCAAAGAGCTCAAAAAGTATGGGATCACTTCAAGATGAAAACCCTGAGAGATTACCACGATCTCTACTTGGAGACTGACGTTCTTCTGCTGGCTGATGTGTTTGAAAACTTTAGGAGAACATGTCTGGAAAGTTATGAACTTGACCCAGCACATTACATGTCAGCACCTGGTCTAAGTTGGGACGCTTTTCTAAAACAGTCAGGTGAAGAAATAGAACTTGTAAGTGATATGGATATGTTTCAGTTCTTCGAGAAGGGTATGAGAGGTGGTACAAGTTATATTGCTCATAGACACTCCACAGCTAATAATAAGTACATGGAAACGTACGACGAGTCGTCTGAGAACAAGTACTTGATGTACCTCGATGCTAACAATTTATATGGCTGGGCAATGTCACAATCACTCCCAAATGGAGAGTTCGAGTGGGTTGAGGAATTCGACGGTATGAATCTAGACGACTACCTGGAAGACAGCAAAAGAGGTATGGTTTTAGAGGTTGACCTAGACTATCCAGAGGAACTTCACAATCTACATAACGGTTATCCTCTAGCACCAGAGAGTAAGGAAATCAGTGCTTCTATGTTGTCAGATTATGCGAAGAGTATTGCTGAGAAATTCCAACTGAAAATTGGAGGAGTAAGAAAACTAGTGACTTCACTTGGTCCAAGGAAAAATTACGTCTTACATGTACGTAATCTGAAACTGTACACAGACCTTGGAATGAAACTCACAAAGGTCCATAGAGCGGTTACATTCAAGCAGTCTCCCTGGCTTAAGGACTATATAGACTTCAATACAAAGAAAAGGTCTGCAGCCCGTAATACGTTCGAAAAGAACTTCTTCAAGTTGATGAACAACTCAATCTATGGAAAGACTATGGAGAATCTTAGGAAAAGGGTTGATGTGAAATTAGTGTCCTCCAAAGACGACCTCCTAAAACTGACAGCATCACCGTGCTTCCAGTCACATCGAATCATGAATGAGAATCTTGTAGTGGTAAAGAGGATGAAAGAAGTTCTAACGCTAAATAAACCGTGTTACGTAGGAATGAGCATCTTAGACTTATCCAAGACCTTAATGTACGATTTCCACTACAACACCACCAAGAAGGAGTACGGTAACAGCTCAAGGCTACTGTTCACCGATACTGACAGTCTGATGTATGAACTGAAGACGGATGATGTTTATGAGGACTTTAAGAGAATTGGTGAAGAGCAAGACTGTTGGGATAATTCGGATTACCCAAAAGATTCTCCATACTACTCAACTCACAACAAGAAGGTTATAGGTAAGTTTAAGGATGAAGCTGAAGGAGTACCTATAATTGAGTTTGTTGGGTTGAGGTCAAAAATGTATTCCTATGTAAAGGAAAACGGTGGAGGTGGAATGACTGCTAAAGGAGTTAAAAAGTATGTCATCAGAAACAAGCTCACTCACGAGAACTTTAAGAATGTAATTAATACGAAAGGTAGGATGAGACATAATATGAATACAATCAGGAGCATAAAGCATACAATTGGAACTTACGAATTGAAGAAGGTTACTCTGAGTTGCTTTGATGATAAAAGGTATCTTTTGGAGGATGGAGTTACCAGTTATGCTTATGGAAACAAAAATATAAAAAATAGTGACTGAGAAGTTCCCACAGAGTAGAAAGTAACAAGACGCCTACTCAGGCGTTCACACTGACCTGAAAATGATGATATGCGTGCTATGGTGCAATCTCGTTCCCTGAGCCTGCGGTCCTTGGGAAGGAAACGAAGGCTCTGGGATAATCCGTTTCAGGGAGGAATCTGATTGGCCGTTGATATGGAATGTGCAGTTCAATCTTAGCCAGAATTCCTGGCTTTCGGCAACGGATTATCCCAGAGCCTTCGTTTCCTTCCCGAGGATCGCAGGCTCGGGGAACGAGATTGGCTATGGTGTAATAGACAAGGGAATGGGAAGCAAGAGAGTTCGTATAGAACAGTTTCAGCGGTAGATTTATCCAAAGAAAATCAATAATTCGACAACAAAAAGCAGAAGGCAGAAACTGTTTGAAACCTAAAGTTGCGCTTTTGCACAAGTAACAAACCTTCATAGGAAAAAAATAAAAATATAAAATGAGACATAGGTAACATCTCTTGTGCTTTAATCACATTTAGTTTAATATCAGATACTTAGTAATAATATTTATAGATAGTATCTCAGGTTCACACCGAAAATCACGTGACCATATTGAACTTTATCAAATCATGATCGTGGATCATTTCTGAGTAGTGAAGCAGTCAGATATAATATATCATTGTCTTCTTCGCCTTTCAGTTGCCTTGAACGATACGTTTTTGAAGAATGGAGATTTTGCGCTACGCAGTATTTCGTGATCATGTTCCAATATTGATATAAGAATTAATGAGCACATGATAACAAATGAGCACATAATAGCTATGAGTTGAGTTGTATTAGGAAATTGAGAACCATACAATAAATGTCTTAGTTCTTGTTGGTATTTCACTGAACGCACGCTTTATCTTTACTTGCGTCAATTCTAGTAGCTACTGCGCGAATTTTAATACATGTATTATATATGGCGCGTTTTTACTGTCAAAATTCAATAGGTCCAATAGTTATAAGTCGAACACCAAATCACCAATGATACAAATCGGGCAACCCTTACTCGAATCGAGCAGACTGATATGTAAATCGATTATTGAAATGATCAATACACATTCAAAACGAGCAAACAGTATAGCCAAATCGAACGACTATTCCTTGTTTATATTATATTGTGAACTAAATGTTATTGTATTAGGCAAATGAGAACCATGCAATAAATGTTTCGGTATTTTGAATGCAAGCTTTATCTTTACTACTTGCTCGAACTCTAGTAGCTACTGCGCGAATTTTAATACATGTATTAAGGTATATTGTCAACATTTTGTAGGTGAAAAGAATTGGCTAGTTTACATTGTTCATTATATTATGAAATATGATACTAGTTAAAATTCGCGTCGAGCTAAATGTTATTGTATTAGGCAAATGAGAACCATACAATAAATGTCTTAGTTCTTGTAGGTATTTTGAAGGCACGCTTTATCTTTAGTATAGGCTGTATAGCTACCACAAAGCGTTTGGCACTCAAACTAGTAGCTACTGCGCGAATTTTAATACATGTATTAAGGTATATTGTCGACGTTGTGTAGTGAAACTGTCAAACCTTTAACTTTTCCTTGTTTATATTGTGTTTATATTATATTGTGAACTAAATGTTATTCTATTAGGCAAATGAGAACCATACAATAAATGTCTTAGTTCTTTTTGGTATTTTGAACGCTCGCATCTTTACTTGCGCGAATTCTAGTAGCTATTGCGCGAATTTCAATACATGTATTTTAATATGGTCAAACCTTTAACTTGCCCTTGTGAACTAAATGTTATTGTATTAGACAAATGAGTACCATACAATAAATCAAAATAAACTGTAGAATCTTTAACTTGTGCTTGCTTATATTCCACTATATTGTACAAATTCGCGTCGGGTCCAAATTTTGGGGTTTTCGAGTCGTTTAATACAACATATTGATTGCATAAATCCGCCGGGTCGGCCAAATTTTCAAAGCCAAATTTTAGAGTCGTATAATACAAAAATAAAAACATTAATTCAACATGCAGAAAAGTCCAGAGTGCGACAAAAAATTAACACAACTACACCACGTATGCTTATGACTTTACAACGTATATTTATAGACGGTTGTTTATTAGTTAAAAAGTCAAACTGTCGAACCTTTAACTTGTCCTTTGTAAAATTCGCTGGGTCCAAACTTTGGGGTTTTCGAGTCGTTACACGAAGAAAAACATATTAGTTCAACACGCAAGAAAGTTCAGAGTGCGACACAACGTAAAATCCATAGGAAACCGGCACAACTCTTTGAAAATGCAACGAAACTGTGTGAAATATTTTCTGATCACTTAGCCAAAAGGCGCCATTTTGAAACTGGACTGAATATATCACCATTGGAGTTCGGAATTGTGCGCGTGCGTATAAGTCCATATAGGTCTATATATGGGCTAATAAACGAAAAATGCACCACAAGCATGACATGAGCCGACTATTACGTACATAAATACCAGCTTCTTACTATTATATATGAATCGTGGAGTCAAAGAATCGATGGCATTTTGGATTAATCGTTGCACCCTGAGCCTGCGATGCGCGAACGCAAACTCGATTTCTCGACGACGAAAAAAACAGAAGAAAACAGAAAACTAGGGATTTAAGACACTTGACCTTTCAGGTCAGTGTAATAATCCTAAAGGGTAAATAAGCAGGAAGGGCCCCCTGCCTTGTGTACCCTCAAGGAGGAAATAAAAGATGTTAAAAAGGCTTTGGAATAGGAAGGTTGGACGATATCGGGAAAGTGTAGGATAATCGTATTAGAGTCTCAGCTTTGAGATAAGTTAAATGAAAAACAAGAATAGCAGTTTCACATTCTAATAAATGTACCAACCATTAATTCTAATATAATAAAAATAAATTCTTTTAAATAAAGATAAAAAACTAGTGGTCTAGAAAAATTGCCAATGGTCTAGAAACCTCAGTTCCTATACTACTCCCCTCGCAGTTGATGACGTCTCTTCTGACTTCCTTATCTCAGTCGACGATACCGAAAAAGCCTTAAGGTCCTCGAAGCCCCATTCAGCAGCAGATCCTGATGAAATTCTATCTTGGTTTCTCTGCGAAAACGCCTCCTCTTTATCTCGTCTACTAGCATTTATCTTTAATGCCTCAATTCGAGAGGGCTTTGTGCAGACCAATCTCGCTCACATCTATTGTGAGTAAGATCTTGGAGTAATTTCCATGCAGTTGGCTTTTACAGTCAACACGAAAACTAATCGACAGTACAGGCTCCAGTACGTACACCACGAAGGCATTAATATACCTGCTCTACAAATGGTATGAAGTGATGAATACTCCTGATGCCTCCTTATCAATTTGCATGTTAGACATTTTCTAATAAAAGTTTTTGACGTCAACATCCTACTACAAAAACTGATATATATGGGTGTGCATTGTCCTTATTAATTGGTGACGGGATGTCCTTATTAATTGGATTGCCAACTCAGAAGACAGAGAACAAGTGTTTAGGTGTATATTATTATTATTATTATTATAAATTTCCAAACTAGCAGTAACAACTGAATTACTTTGGAATTACAAGGTATAAGAACATAGGTATTCATTCAATCTATTCTATATTTACAGATAAAAATAGGTAAGTTAGATAAAAATTACGATAATAAACTAAAGTTTACTTATTATTATAAGCACGAGACGCAGCAGGAATGAAACTAGTGTCTTCATCAGGGGTGATCTAAAACTGTGATCGTGGCTTCTTAAATACCCAAGGGATGACGTCACCTGCCAAGGAGATGCATATATTCCTCTGGCAAATAGGCGCCGTCATCCCTATTCAAAGCATGATGACTCATATTTATATGCCACGCTTCTAGGCAAAGTCTTTGACCATAGCGATTGTTTGTGGTAATTACTTTAGAGTTTTCCCACGCAATCTCGTGTTTGGTGTAACATACATGTTCGGCTAAACTAAGCTATGTTACACCAAACACGAGATTGCGTGGGAAAACTCTAAAGTAATTACCACAAACAATCGCTATGGTCAAAGACTTTGCCTAGAAGCGTGGCATATAAATTCTATTCCAAAGGAAATTAAAGAGAGCAAACCCCTTTCTTCCTTTCGGACGAAAATCGCTGCTCACATTGATAATTAAAGCAAATATATGCATCTGTAAATACATTATTATCTCATATACTTAATATATTTTATACTATGTTTTCTACTTTGTAAATAGCTTTTAAATACTTTTCATATTTGCTGTATACTTCTTGTTCACACGCCCCTCGTGGAAATCAGCTGTAGTTGACGAGGTTAGCGTGGTTAAATAAATCTATCTATCTATCTATCTATCTATCTATCTATCTATCTATCTATCTATCTATCTATCTATCTAAGTTATCTATCTATCTATCTATCTATCTATCTATCTAGATCACATTGAAATTTATACACGACGCACGCATTTCACTTCCCTCGGTTTCAGTTGCTGTTCCAATTTTCTGCTCGTAAATACCGGTTGTAGACGAACACCAACTTTACGACTCAGGTCAACCATTTGTTTTCTAACTGCATTTGCTGCGGTTTGATCTTTAAAGGGGAGACCGAATCTTACAACACTGCTTTCATCAGGTGTTTCTCTTCTCCTCGTGTCTCGTTATTCAATATTCAAGGTGTCGTTAGCAACCTTCTGGATGGTAGAGTCGATGAGACCAGTAGGATAATCCAGGCGGGTAAAAATAGAGCGCATATATATAATTATATATATATATATATATACGGCGTAATTATGAATTCCCTTTTAAAACTAAATGATGTAAATAACGTAGCAGTTTGAACAACTACGACGTACTAGACTGATAGTGATGCTGATAGTCTTAAGAGTAAAATGCTATAGTGTTAATGAGCACGTCTTCATTGACATTGCCGTTGTATCAAACTCACTATTAAGCCAAACTCCGCCCTTGCCACCTTGTTAGCTCCTCGTGCAGCCACCTACCAAAGAGCCGTCATCAATTTTTTTAAGATTCAGACTAGTTGTACCAAAAGTTATAAGCGCTAGCGCACCATATTAAGGTTTCAGATGGCATGCAACATGTACGCACTGCGTACCTATTTTTAAGATTAGTGAAGAGCGATTTATGTAGCGTAAAATAATGATATAGCACAGAGAAACAAACTTAGAGCAAGTTTGGGTCTCCACAGCTTGAACACGCACAATTAAAAATAAACACAAAAAATTAAAGTTAGGATTTGTTCCTAAATGCCGGGTTATAAAATGTAAAACTTTCTGACAATGTTTTGTTTTTAGATTGCCACAAAGCACTTCAAGAAGTTTCATCTTCCAAAAATGCATCAGAGAGAGGCACACTAGAACATGTTCTGCCAAGTCTACAACTCAATAGCATTGATATAAATGTGCTGTCCGATGTGACAAATGCTAACTCCAAAGTTTGTTTATGTGCAGTTTATCAACACGACAATCAAATTATAGTGGAGAATCCTTTATCCAGATTTGTAACTGATTTAATCCGTAAAAATAACTGTACACATTTTGAAGTGCAAGTGAAAGTGAAAATGTGTAAAAGCTGCAAAGCAAACAATGTGAAAACGACCTACGCATCACAAGAATTCGAGTGCACTCTTACTAGTCCGATAGCTAGTTTTGATGAAAACAGACCACTTCAACTAAGAAGGGTGAACTGTCAACCAGAAACTCCGTTTCAGGCGTTTTTGACGAAATCAAATAATATTATCCAAGCCGAGGGTAATTTTATTCGTATCATCAGTAAAATTTGTGAAAATGGAAAAAAGGTAAGAATCAAACTTCGTTTTGATGTCCGAAGCAGTGTGAAAAGACGCTCTAAAAGTTTGTCCGATTTTGATTCCATGAAAACTGCTAAGAAATTCCATGAAGAGCCAAACAGTTTCAGGAATATCAGTGGAAATTGTTTGGCCAAGTCCAGCGCCTCTCTTGGTAAAGCGCAGTCTGCAATCACTATTCTTGATGGAGAAGTAAACATTCAGGACTATGAGAAGTCTAAATCAACAATAATTATGCAAGAAACTCTTGCAAAAAACACTGAAAGCCAGGTTGACGAGGATGTTAAGATTGAAGAGGCTGTTGAGGTTGTTGAGGTTGATGAGATTGATGAGGTTGATGGATTTCCTCTGGACGGGTTGGAGAAGCTGGAAATTTTTGCCACAGGAAAATTTGGTCCTCTATACAAAGGTAACGTCATTACGTGACTCAACAATCGTTGGATGGAAAGTGTAAACAAACCGGGGGGAGCGCTTGCAAATTATGTTCTGTAGATTTTCAACGTTCAGCCAGCCTAAATATTTTTAAAAAAATTTCAAATTCAATTTTATATTTTTATTCACAACGACAGACGTTCTTCTGTCTTACATTACATTATAATCTATAACATTTAGTGAAACAATCATAAAATAAATATCAATTTTAAGATATAAATGGCCAATATGTGTAGGGACTTTCTCGCCCTCCGTGCAACAAAATCAAATGAATTTCTGCACTGCTCCAATTTTAATATGGCGGTTTCAGAGGGGTCGCAGTACGATGTCGTGTATAGGAAGGGTCGATCAAAGTAAAAAATGCAGTCAATTTTAACCTTGTTTTTGTGCTTATATTATCTAACAAATTAACAGAGTGATACAGTAGATAAACATGGTCGTACCGGAAGGAAAAAATTAGGGGGGGCGGAAAGAAAATTGCCCGACTTTTCGTAAAATTGCCCGACTTTTCGTGATTGTGCCCGGCTAGTACCAAAAATTTTCCCTGGAAAAATTATTTTGGCGACTCCCCCCCCTCGCCAAAAAAATTTCGGTCAGTGTACCATTTAAGGGGTCAAAAAAATTTTCCGGATATACCAAAATTTTTCGGAGCATCACATAAATTTTCAAAAAAACACTACATTGGCCACAAAATTGACTAAATTTTCGAAAAAATTGACAGAATTTGTCCGATTTATTTTTATAACAAACCAAAATTGCCCGACTGTTAATCGAATATTGCCCGACTGCCCAAAAAACTGGGGGGGGGGGGCTACCGCCCCCCCGCCCGGTACGCCTATGTAGATAAATAAAAAAAGCGCGTGGTCATGATAGTTCTGATATAAATTAGCTTACACGTTTTAAAATAACTCTGAACAACTAGTATGTTATATTGCCACATCGTTATCACTGTAAAGTGGAAATTTTGCTCTGGGGCACAAGCATGCAAAAACAGGCAATGGTTCTTTAATGTCTATATTAAATATAAACGATGGCAGCTAATGAACTATTTAATAGACATGTGTTCAACTTTGTTTATATCACAGGTTCCTACAACGGGCAAATGTTACTGTATTTAAGCTTTACTGCGCGCTCAATATCAGTCCGATTTTCATCAAATTTTCACCAAATGTTTTCTCCAGTGCATGCAAAATATGGTAAAGTTGTAAAATTAACAAACAATAAAATAATGTAAGAGTTATTCAAGAAAATCTTAAATCGCGGTACCGTTATGCTTTTGAGTTGTGCTCCTGCTGGTTTTAAGTTATATTTATGAAAATATCATTTTTATACAGTAAAATAGTTGTTCTAAAAAACTGTGTTCGGAAATTTTTGTTTATTTCGTCATTCCGCTGATATGGCGATTTCTTTGACGACTGCAATATATTTCTGAATTGTTTGAGTGAATTGCTCTTGAGAAAAATTGGTTAAAACCTGCAGGAGCACAATTCATTTGACAATCAGTAATTACCGTAAAATTTTTCGGGAGAAAATTGAATTTGAATATTACATTTTCAATGTTTTTCTTATTGCAGCGAAATGTATTTTATTAAATAACTCTGCGAGTTTTCAACATTTTTCGTTCAAACTTGGTCAGATAGTAGAACTAGTCTAATGCTTTCATTGAAACCAATAAAAAAATTTTAGGCAAAATTAACACTCAAAGGTGTTCTGTAACCTTAACTGGTTATAAAAAAACCTAATTACATTATTACATAAGACGTACTTAGTTATTTTGTCTTGAAGTCGTGCCAATAGGATCAGTTCATTTCCATACCTTGATCTGTTCTTCCAAACAGTTCCTCAATAATTTGAAGAACTTCTTAGAAATTTCCTAATTTCCTGTGCTGTTATATAACAACTGACCATTTTCAATGTTTCTGTTTGACCCAGTGGTTTGACTGTTTGTCAACCGTTTGCCTATAAATTGGGCGTTGTGAAAAGCCGGAATGCCGGAATGTCACGGAATATGCCGGAATCATAGAGATTATAAATAACACTAGAGGGGACATCATAATCTTAATTCAATGAAAGAAAGGGAACGCGGCTATTGGGGGGCAAAAAATTCTTGTTTATGGCAGTTAAGTAGTTCCGTTTTAATTTTTACCAAGCATTTTTACCTCAATTTTGTCTATAACGCATTTTTGAGAGCGCTCCAAAATAATGCTGATGTCAGCAATTTTGATGTTTTCGAGAGGAATTAAACGTTTGAATTCAGAATTTTGGGGGAATGTTTGTAGTAATGACATGCAAATCATATAGAACACCCAGTTTTGTGACTCTTGTTTTAAATTTTTGAGGTTTCAAATGTAACCAAAAATTGTGTGGTGTTCATCCCCACATTACCGCGTACCCAAGTTTCACCCTCGATGCCCCCTCTAATGTTATTTATAATCTCTATGGCCGGAATGTGATTTTATATTGCCTCGAAAAAATCGTGAAATTAATGGCACACGAAATTCCGTGATATTCCGCGAAATTCTGGCATATTCCGTGATATTCCGGCTAGGGATGTGCCGGATACTGTTTTGCCGGATATAGTATAGGTTGAAATGTCAGATAATTGGATCCGGCTGGATTTTCGTGCCAAATGCCAAAATTTTTTTGGTCAATTTTGGGGTGCTGATTTCAAAAAAGTTGGGTACCATTTTTTTCTTCTACGTCATCAGTAAAAAAATTGAGATTCAAAATGGCGGCAATTTTTTTCAAAATGGCGGCCATTTTTTTCAAAATAACGTCCATTTTTTATTATGTTTTGTTCTATTAGTCTCAATATATATCATAGTTTCTGGAAACATTAGAATAACAATACCGTTCAACGTTGTTAATTCTTGAGTTGCTGAGTTTAAAAAAGTTGGCTACTTTTATTTTCCATGCCATCATCCTTCAAAACTTGGGGTTTCAAAATGGCCGCCATCTTTCATTGTATTCTGTGGAAATTCTGTTCTATTTCATGCCATGACCATTTTATTAAAAAGTTAGCTTTGACTTTTTTAACTGTATCACTACAGTCACTATTTAGTAATTTAGGGCTGTGGTGGTGAGTCATTAAAACTCTTTAATTTTTGTTTACAATTTCACTAGAAATTATGTCCAAGACATATAAATAGAATTAAGCTATAGTGGCTGTGATCGGGAATGTAAATAAAGATAAAATGTATAATAAAGTAAAGAATTTGTCAGAATAGTTTGCATGACTAGTACCTAGCCTTTTCACACGGACATCCAAGATGGCGGACACAGCTGTCACTACATGAGCTGTATGTATCTTTCCATATTTTTCATTGTCTAAGCAGCCGAACTTGATTTTGGGATTGGAGGTGAAAAACATTAAATTAGGTAATTACTAATTTGAAATTGATCGAAAAAGGGTGTGAAAAAAGCATCATAATGTGATTTTAGTTGTAATATGATATGGTTAATGTGCTGTCCTAGGAATGTCAGACATGCACAAAAGGAAGAAGAGATGAAGGAATGGTCAAGAGATGAAGTAATTTCTCTAATACGGATACTACAGAAACCAGTGCCAACAAGTGCATCATATGCTCGAAGGTCGAAGGAACAACACCCTTAACATTAAAATCGTCTAGGGAGAGTCTGGAAAAAGTCAAGAAATATGCAAGCCAACGTGCATCGTATGGGGAAACAAACTTATCCCCTCTCTGTCACTCTGTGACAGGATTGCAAGTCTTACAGATGAGCAATACATTCAGTCTGTATATCATTCTGGATGTTATAAAAATATCGTCAACAATTAGAAATTGAAAAGGGAAGAAAAGAGATTTAGGGAATCTTCATCATCATCAAAGTCAGTAGTGCCTCCAAAGAAAGGTCGCCCTTCAAGGTCAGATTCTCCATCATGCAGTAGAGAGGGAACAGGCGAACGGCTACGACGATCTGTTGGCGCTTCACAGCACATCAAGACTTGTGTGTTCAAGTGTTCCCATCCTAGCACAGGCGAACTACATCGAGTCGAAAGCGAGTCTATGGGCATCAGGTTTTTGTTGATTAAGTCAAGAACACAAGATGAGAATGTTAGGGTAGCTTTAGCCAATGTTAATGAACCTTCTGACTGCGCTGCATTTGATTTAATGTATCACAGGAATTGTCTTAGAGAACACGAACGAAAGTTGCAACAATCCATTTCAAACTGGGATATACAGTCCAAGTCCAACATTGGCAAATATATCGCTGACGTTGACATCCTGAATGCTGTCAAATGTTCCCTTGCTTCAGGTTCTACTCTAACAATGAATGAAATTGATGAAGAATATGTTTCCATACTTACTGAAAATGAGGTAGATCCAGGTTCCAGCCATCATAAAAAGCATCTGAAAAGTATTATCCATGAAAACATTGAAGATGTTAAATTTGTCAAGTCACATAGATCCAATGAAAGTGATAATGTAGTCAGCGAAAAGCTACTTGGAGTGGCTGTTAACAACCTCCGAGAGCAACAAAATGAAGGAGATGACATCAAATGCGTCGCAAAGACAGCTGCTATATTGAGAAATGAGCTCAAAAGACATACTCGCTGGAAATTTACAGGATCCCAGTCCATGAAGGAATTTCAGTCTCCACCAATGTTGACCTCCTTTCTACGATGGCACAAAACTTCTTCTTGGCACAAAACTTAGAAATGTGAAAGGAAAGCGCTATGAGGCATCAACGAAGTCAGTTGATCTTGTGTCACAACAGATACTGCAGAACTTTAAAACGGACCGTCAGACAACTTACCAACCCCAGTCGGATACCGGATTCCGAAGTCACATTGAAACTCCTCTCTTTGTTGGATTGGCATTAACGATTCACAAGAAAACAAGAAGTAAGGATCTTGTAAATGTTCTTTCACAGCTGCAAATCGGATCTAGCTACAAGAACGTCATCAACATAGAGAAGCGAATTGCTTGCAGAGTGGCTGAGCGGATGAAGGCGACAGGTGGATTTTGTTTGCCGTCCTTTCTTGTGAAAGGAAAGTCTATTTACTTTGCTGCAGATAATATCGACTTCTTAGAAAACACAGCTGATGGTCAGAACACTCTCATGGTACGATGCTAGTGATCAATCAAAACAAGAACAGCAACAATGATGAAACTGCTAGAGTCGTAGTGGATGAATCTCTTCGTATCCCCGATGAAATTGTCTCTGTGGATGTTACCACAGTCTACAGAAGCCCGACATCCGTTGAAGCCAAGCCTATCACAGTTAACAAGTTCGACTTTCACTCCCATGAACATCTTGTGAGAAAATACGAGGTGGACGACAGAGAGTGGCTGATGGCATCGTTTTCCCACAGAGAGAGAAGTGCGATCGTAGGAAATGCTATCCCTGAAGAACTGTCAGCAAGTACATGTGAACAATTTGAAGCTGCAGATCATCCCGAACAGCGTACATCTCAATCATCCACTAAACTGGAGAAAACAGACATTATGCCGACTTGGGCAGCTACTAACTCTTTATTAATGTCGGCACCACAAGTTCACTTAGAGAATCGACAGAAAACACAGAGTTCAATTGTTGCCCCTTTGTTAAGGAGACCTCCAACAGATTTTACAGCTCTCTACACGGTGTTGTGTCAGGCTCAGGGTATATCAGCTTTTGTGGTAGGTCCTGATCACAAAACTATAATTACTCTTGATCTGTACGAGAGACCATTGAAACTGCAATCTTCGACAGAGAACACTAACTGAGTTTTGAGAGTTGGTGAACTTCATGCTTGTTTTGCTTCTCTTCATGCCATCGCAAAGTATCTAGAAGGCAGCGGTCTTGAGTCTATCAGCATTGAAGCTGGTCTTTATTCGCCATCTACCATCCGCCAAATCTTCACTGGAAAGTGGTTTAAGCGTGGTGTAGAGTACCATTTGACCAATATTATGGCCTGCTATGACCTTCTTTTCGAAGCCTCTTTGCAGCAACAAGACGCGGGATCTATGATACTGAAATGTTATGAACTTCGCAATCAACTCCATACAAGGCAAGAAGACGTGAAAGAGGTCTTTGAAGAAGTAAGTGCAATCTTCTTAAAACTGTTCCAATCTTCACTTGAACAAGACCTTGGAGAAATGGCACAATTTCTGCGGAGCTATATGAAGAAAGTAGAGAGTTTGATTCACTTAATTCGAGCGAGCAGACAGGGAGAGTGGGAACTTCACCTTGGTGCTCTTGAAGAGAATGTCAAATACTATTTTGCGCATGATCTTTACAAATATGCTCGTCTCGTACCAGTTTATCTTGCCCAAATGCAGCGGCTTAAGGACACTGACCAGGAAACCTGGAAGGCACTGGAATGTGGTGACTTCATGGTAGCGAAATCGGGGATCCCATTCACAAATCTGTTCGTGGATCAAACATTGGAACAGCTAATCAGAGAACTCAAGGTAGCGGGAGGGATAACTGGCATCACACAGAATGCAGGCGCACTTGATAGATTTTTCTTGATTGCCCCTAAGTTAATCAAGCTAATCAAAGATTTCCACGATTCTTACTGCACAGACAGCGTCCAACCAGCAACTAAGGAACATTATCAGCTGAGTGGCTCAATGGCAGTTCGTATGTTCAATAACTCAGGCTTGATCAAGAAAGGAATAGTCAAACATTGTGACGGGAATCCATTTTCACGTAAGAACATTAATCTAACGCACCTGGTATCTAATGTGGAGGTACCAGAAAATGCAAAGGACGACATCCTTCTCAGAGATGAAAAGGGGACAGAGAAATTTGAAGAATTTGTGTCTGAGCGGGTTGTTGCATCCACAGCAAAGATGTCGATTTGGGATCCAATGAAGAAAATCAAGCTGAAGACCTTTACTACATGCAGGAAGAAGACACAATGCAAAGTCGGAAACAAGCTGGTAAAGTTAAGGGAAGATCGACAGCTATTGGCAAGATTTCTCTTAGTTCAACAGTCACGGCCAAGTATGATCCAATCTCTGAGCGACACTATTGGTAGATATGAGTTTACTGTCATTCCCAGGTCACTTTTCTCCTCGGATGGTCTTCTTCTTATCCCAGCTGACAAGAGTTCTTTTGTGCATGCCATTGAAGAGTGCAGCATAGAGCTATCAAGTGAACAAAATATCTTATGATTCACCTTACATTGTTTAATGAGGTTACATAGTAACCACGGTTAATATCACAGGAACCGCGCGCAGTCTGGGTACGACATGTGCCCTCAGGATATCGGATATAGAGAGTGCCAAGCAGACTCTCAGGTCATTAGCTAATTCGTAGCCAACTGCAATGGTTATCTGCTCAGAGAAGAAGCAACTGGGCTTGATCCCTTTCCTAATTTCTAAATTGCGACATAGCTTAGCAACTGGGTTTAGTCACTTTGCTAATTTCTAAATGGCGGCATAGCTTAGCAATTGGTCTGGTCCCTTTGCTAATTTCCAAAATACGACGCTGTTTAGCAACTGGGTTTAATCACTTTGCTAATTTCTAAATGGTGGCATAGTTTAGCAACCGGGTTTGCTTCCTTTGCTAATTTCCGAATGGCGGCATAACTTAGCAACTGGGTTTGGTCCCTTTGCTAATGTCTACATTGCGACATTGCTTAGCAACTGGGTCTGGTCCCTTTGCTAATTTCTGAATGGCGACATAGCTTAGCGGGTTTGGTCCCCTTGCTAATTTCTAAGTGGCGACATAGTTTAGCAACTGTGTCTGGTCCCTTTGCTAATTTCTAAATGGCGACATTGCTTAGCAACTGGGTTTAGTCCCTTTGCTAATTTCTAAATGGCGATATAGCTTACAACTGGGTTTGGTCCCCTTGCTCATTTCTAAATGGCGACAGTGCTCAGCAAATGGGTCTGGTCCCTTTGCTAATTTCTAAATGGCGACATTGTTTAGCAACTGGGCTTGATCCCTTTCCTAATTTCTGAATGGCGACATTGCTTAGCAACTGGGTTTGGTCCCCTTGCTAATTTCTAAATGGCGACATAGTTTAGCAACTGATTCTGGTCCCTTTGCTAATGTCTAAATGGCGACATCGCTTAGCAACTGGGTTTAGTCCCTTTGCTAATTTCTAAATGGCGATATAGCTTAGCAACTGGTTCTGGCCCCTTTGCTAATTTCGGAATGGCGACATTGCTTAGCAACTGGGTCTGGTCCCTTTGCTAATTTCTAAAGGGCGACATGGCTTAGCAACTGGGTCTGGTCCCTTTGCTAATTTCTAAAGGACGACATAGCTTAGCAACTGGGTCTGTCAGCTAGAGTCACTGGCGACAGTGGCTAAGGTCAAAATGGCGCGGTATGGTGTAATAACCTGGCCTCGCCCTGTGTTTATTTTGGAAGAGCAGCAGAACTAGCCACTAAATGTGCATGGCGGCGTTGCTAATGTCAACTTATGGAAGAACATCTATGGAGGCATAGTTTGTACCCGGGTGGATGTAGTTGGGATTCGGTCTGGGGGCCTGGGATTTTTGGTTACTTGGAGTGGTGAAATTTCGGAGAAATGTCACTTTGGTGGTCAGGTCCTGAATGGACAGGTCCACGTGATTCGGACCTGAATCCAAGTAACTCAAATCCGTAGATCATTAGCTGACCACGTCTGCACCTAACCATCCACACGGGTAAGTATGGTGACGACAGATATTAAATGAGGTTACATAGTAACCAAGGTTAATATCACAGGAACCGCGCGCAGTCTGGGTACGACATGTGCCCTCAGGATATCGGATATAGAGAGTGCCAAGCAGACTCTCAGGTCATTAGCTAATTCGTAGCCAACTGCAATGGTTATCTGCTCAGAGAAGAAGCAATTTTTTTTTCATGACTACAATTGATTTTTAATTTAATTTCCATCGAACTAAGTTCGGTGTGATAAGGTGCAGACGTTCGGTGGTCAGGTCCTGAATGGACAGGTTCACGTGATTCGGACCTGAATCCAAGTAACTCAAATCCGTAGATCATTAGCTGACCACGTCTGCACCTAACCATCCACACGGGTAAGTATGGTGACGACAGATATTAACTGGTATTCAGTATATAAAATTCACTGCTGTTGGCGAACGAGCAGTTCACATCACCATCACGAAAAAAATATGTCGTAATTTCGTCGTAATGCAGCGCACGCTCAGAAATTGTTCGTGTTTCACAATTTTTAAACGCCAATTAAACTTTTCCGTTTCATGGTTGTAACAAAATATCTTACAGTACTATCCAGTAAATATCCGGCAAATTTATAGTGCCGGATGCCTAAATTTTACCGGATACCGGTATCCGGATCCTGCACATCCCTAATTCCGGCATATTCCGTGATATTCCGGCATTCCGGGTTTTCACAACGCCCCGATCTTAAATCTGTCTAATGTTGAGATAAGATGAAGTAATTCTATAGACGTACTAGACATACATTATGACAACAACAACTTTTTCAACATGCATGAGCATGATATCGTACGTCGCATGAATTTTCCGATTTTTTGTAATTGTACACTAAATGTTCTTTCTTACAGTTTCTAGAAAGGGGAGAGAACAATTGGTTAAGATTGTTAAAACAGACACGGGAAACGAGCATTTTCTAGAGGTTTGTATTGTATGTACATGTAACAATACAGTAGTGAATCGGGCGGAAATCAATCTATCATGCAAATGTGACCATGCAAATGAAACCAAGTCAAGTGCTGTCGGAAGCAAATTGTTATTAAGGAGCTCAACTAATAGGAGTGGTATGAAGAGCATTCGGTGTTTTTAATTTCCTGAGGCTGAGAGCATTTAAGAAATATAGAGCCGGATTAGGCATTGCACTTTTTGCAACCCCCATGCAGTTTTGGAAAAACATTTGCTCACTATACAATTACAATTGTTTTTGCTCCTCTAGATACATTTATACTGAATGTCAATGAATCTTACACACATAATCTTGTATTGCCATAAATCAAAAGACATGCTGATGTATAATATAACAATAATACACATTTATTACGGCAGTTGATTTTCTCAGCCTCGTACCCAGGAAAGAAATCGCGATTGCTATTATATATAGATCAATGGCTGATCTGGGCGAGCGCGCAGGGGTGCTTTCCCATAGAGATGATAAATAACACCGTGTTATTTATAATCTCTGTGTGCTTCCCAACATGCCGTGCGCTCAGAGCGCAGTTTTCACATAGAGGCCTGGGTACGAGGCTGTGATTTTCTGGTAACTGAATGTTTCATCAATGACAAGTGGAATACATCTATCTATTAGTCGTTTAATTAAAGGGACAAGCGAGTCCCAACAATTAATCATCCCAAATATCGTGAAAATATGGAATAACATTCTTTACATTGTCAATAAGGACTTTCGTTTTGCAACCATTTCCAAAATATTTGCTTGAAGTCATTGCATTGTATATTTAACAAATATAAAACGTTTTCCGTTTTGATATACAGTTATATCAATACGAGTGGAAATTGGGAAAACGAGAAATTGTGTGGAAACACGACGCCCGAAGGGCGGAGTATTTTCATACAATTTCGAGTTTTCCCAACTTCCACGAGTGTTGATATAACTATATATCAATACAGAAAAATTGTTTTATATTTTTTTTTATAATATAGCAATGTCAGAAGCCCGAAGGATAAGAAAAATTTCCGTGTTTACGAGCGGCGGAAAATTTCCCGTGTTGACATTGAGTTATATCAACACGGCTCTTAGCCAATCTGCGTTCCGAATTTACAAATGCTATATTATAATTGCAATTTTCGAACTTGCATTTAACAAATTTAAAACATTTTCCGTGTTGATATACAGTTATATCAACACGAGTGGAAATTGGGAAAACGAGAAATTGTGTGGAAACACGGCGCCCGAAGGGCGGAGTGTTAGTTACACAATTTCGAGTTTTCCCAATTTCCACGAGTGTTGATATTTAACAATTATTCGCCGAAGGCGAGGTGATTATCGGAGAATATTCGCCGAGACGAAGTCGAGGTGAATATTCCCCGATAATCACCGAGCCTGAGGCGAATAATTGTTTTAATATTTTTGTGTTTTTTTGGGACTGAATTTATTTTAATTTCGCTTATTTCTTTATCAGTATAATGGCCACACAACGGCTAGCCGCCATTTTGAAAATTTCGATTTTGTTATATTCATCTATAGGTGAATATTACAGCTTAATACTTCAAATTTGACCAATCAATTTGTAGGATTTGTTATGTTCACTTGAGCAAAAATACTAAAACTATATATCAATATGGAAAAAATTTTCCGACGTTTCCGTGTTGACATTATATAGGGAGCTTACGAATGTGAGACGGCGACGTCAGGACGACGGCTATCAATACAATGACATTAATCCTATAGTACAAAAGAAATGAATAATTAAATGTAGTATAGTGGGGGGGTTTTAGACGTCGTCCAAGCTCTGTTGACAACGGCAAAATGTATATTTTCACGTCCTGTATAGTACGCTAGCATTTCACGCTGTGACAGGTAGTTTTTCTAGCAGAGATAATCAACATTGCTCGGAGGGTTAAATCTCTGGTTTACGCGTTCGAAACTATTTTAAATTCATACAAAAGTAAATGCAAGACAATATTTTCATACATTTTCATAATATATTCATCACTTATTTCAAACAGTTTTTCTAGCCGTCGTCCTGACGTCGCCGTCTTACATTCGTAAACTACCAATGAGTTATATCAACACGGCTCTTAGCCAATCAGCGTTCAGAATTTACAAATGCTATATTATAAATGCAAATATTCTGCCTCTAAAGATAATTTCTGAGGTAAAGGATCACACAAATAATAAACTGAGGTAAAGGATCACACAACATTTAAATTATTTCAATTTGTAGTAGTGTTCTCCTCCCAACAATGACAATAGACAGATTTAGATCGAGGACGCGGACGTCAAAGACGAGGTGAGAATGGCGTGTTGTGCCCATGTATGGATATGCCATTTTCACGTCGTCCTTGACGTCCGCGTCCTCGATCTAAATCTGTCTAATGTGACAGCAACAACCTACTTGTTCTGAATGATCCACTCGTTGCTATTGAAGTCCACTTGGTTTGGTGTTTCGTTCCAAATTTCGATAATTTTATCCGAATACGATTGTTCGGTTTTCAATCTACTTGACAACCTCGTGTTTGTAGTTCCCAAATTCCCAAACAATTTCGCTATTTAACGCGAGATCCACCTCTTCCGACTATCATAAATTCTTATACTAATATAATTGTGATTTTTTGCAGGAAGCGAGACAATTTCTCAAATGTAGACATCCATATATCCGTCCAACCGCAGACATTTTGGAGCACCATGAAAGGTATAGTGACAAGAGTTCTTACAAATTATCGTGACGAAATTAATCTTGTTACGTGCAAATTAATTGGGTACTGGGGAGTACGGAAGATTTACACCAAAATGAGCTCAGTCAGAATAGGAGAAAGATACAATAATGGTGTTGATAACAGTGTGTTTACTCCTCGCGCGTCTTTCACTTTTGAGTTGGAGTTCGATTGCTCTGATTCATAGCCCGATCGCAGATTCTGGATGAATAATTTCCTCTCAATCGCATGTGAGAATACTTTTCCAATCTCACTCCATCAAATGCCGCAAATTTTCGTCGTATATTATACGGTTTTGTCCTGTAGGTTACCAATTAATTAACTAGTAATGATTTTTCTGTGTTGATGTAATGTACTCAGGTGAATATGATGCTTGTGATGTTACTCTGAGTGTATATCCACAAAGGTCGTAGGTTCGATTCCCACCGTGGTCAGGCATATTTTTCAAGCTTGGCCGGTGTGGATTATTAGTGGATATATCATTGATATCGACGGAACTAGTTTCTGTTCCGAAATATCACATACTCGAACCGATCTGACCGCGTAGCTCAGTTGGCAGAGCATTGGGCTAGTATTCCAAAGGTCGTAGGTTCGATTCCCACCGTGGTCAGGCATATTTTTGAAGCTTGCCCGGTGTGGATATACACTCAGAATAACATCACAAGAATTAATTAATTATTAGACAATTAGGTTTTTATTATATACATATATACTCTAGGCATGTTTACACCACCCTCAATGTTTGACATGGTACAGATAAATATGGTACACCAGTACCAGATTTGCCCGTGCATGCTAGGACTGTACCTAAGGCATGGGTACCATTTTTATCCGTACCATGCCGAAAATTGAGTGTACGTAACAAACCTATAGGCATTCCACTACAGTAAAGTAAGATATGTAAAACTTTTAAATATTACGAATTTGTCGTGAATGTTAATTGTAACGCAACCATATATTATTAGGTACTTTGTAGTGTATTGGTTTCTGGATGGCCACTCTTTGTTCCAAGTCATAGAGGAGAATGTCATTAAGAACTATGTTATCTATTGTCGGATTTTGTTTGGTATGGTGAAAGGACTAGTATATCTACGGAGGATAGGGTAGGCAGTGACTCATTCTCAGACTTACCAAATTTGTCTTTTTCAGTTTAACTTAAATAAGTAAAAAAACATTTTTGGGTCAGGGCATCGTTCATTATATTTATAATTAAGAAAATGAAGTAAAAAATAATCAGGCTTTTGATATGTGGGCGTAGCTCATGCATCCGCTGAAGCCAAAATTTGGGTTGATGACATCCTCTAATAGATATTTTTTGTAGAATTGAATGCCAGTATCTGACACCAGAGAAAGTCCTACTGGACAGTCGCTTCAACCCGCGCATTTCTGGTGTTGGAAAATCGTACTTTAAAAGTCAAGAACATACGGAAACGAATCATGGCGACTTTCATCGTTCTCTGTCTTATCTTGATGTTCATCTAAGAAGCAAGGAAGAAAAGCATTCGAAAAACGTTTTGTGGAGTGTTGGGCGATGTATGTTGTTTTGAGCGAACGTACCTGTAAATACAAACGATAAACGAATTAACCAACCAATCAACCAGATATTTAATCGCCAAATAACTAACCAACCTTGATATATTGACCAACTGACCAATTAATCAACTTACCATTTTCATGACAAAGTTACTGAATTCTGATTAGTTGAGAGGAGCAGTTATTTTATTAATGGAATTACCCTTGGAATTCCTTGGAATGAATTTGAACAAAAATATTCCGAAATGGCGGCTAAACAGGATTTTGATTCCCCCCCCTTTTCACAATCTATATTGTTATGGAATTTGGGCAAAATTTTCCAGCATCACTCATACTGTTAAGTAACTACTATCTATATCTAGCTAATTATGTAACTGACAACCAATTATAACCAAACTACCTTATACTCCACCTGTACTGACAAAAAAAACTAACCACTAACCATAGACGTGTGGGGGGGGGGGTGCAGGGGGGTGCTACCCCTCCAATATTAGCTATAACCCCCTCAAACAAAATGTCCACCCCTCCAAAAATATTTTCAACCCCCCCCCCCAATATTCGGCATAATAAAAAATAATTAAATAGTCCACTCCAACGTGCAGAGTGTTGATGGTACAAAATAAATGTAGGAGTACACTCATATAGAAAAAGACAGTGCAACACTCTGAAACTAATCGCTCCTCGCTTGCATTCACTGGAGCAATTGTAAAGTTTTGAAACTCTATTATCTCCCCTGAATAAAGTTTGTAGTGCCTTGTCATGCAAATAGCTTGCTTGCAAGGCACGTTTCGAATTTTTACGAACATTATTTTTAGTTTTTAATTCTTTTAGGAAATAGACTTGCCTAGATTTAATCTTTACGCCCCAAATATTATTTACATCAGAGTTGCATCATAAATTGTAC